CTGGGGTGTGGTTTCACCGTGGCGCTGTCCTTGTTGGGTGCGTTTCTGAGATTGGGGGGTTGGGGGGCATCTGGAGCTTGTCATTGTCTACAGTTGTAGATCACATCGAAAGAATGCTGTAAAAAACTGTGAGTTAGCCCTGTTAGACCACTTGACAATTTTGAGTCCTTTAAAAAATTGTGGTAACTCAAATTTCTTCTTACTTACCAAAAGTTGAGCACCCGAGGAAAGAATTAATCCGCTTTTACCTCATTGTTCCAGTGTGAATGAATGTACTTAGAGGTTGATTAAGTGTTTTTTTCCCCTCTGAACACGGGAAACTATGTCCAAATCCTTAAGTAATTGCATTCTTAATACAGACATTTCTCATTTTCTTGCCCTCGCTGAAGAGGCAGGGTGGCTTTCGGACCCTGCGTCTTCATTTGTGTGATGGCGACTTTGATTGAACTTTAAGGGCTTTGGTCACTTAACTCTCAACCAGCTACGTTTAAAGCATAACAGTTCAAAGTGCTTTATTTGTAAAATTCTTTGAATTCTTTGATGGCTTGAGATTATTTGTAGCACTGTAATAAGCCCATACTCAGGGGAAAAAACATTTTTAACCTAATCTATAAGTCATATTTTCTGATGAGCAGAAGTTAAAACGAGCATATTTATGGTTTTTCTGGGACATAAACTAAGTAGAGTTAAAATATCTGACCCATTGTCACAAACAAGTGTTGCTTTAAAAAGAACCTTGTGCACCTCTCGGAGCCTCGGACAGTTTGCACGATCGCCCTTGGGGACGTCCTCGTGTGGACTTCATCCAGGTCCGTCACCCCCAGGGGACCAGTTCTCTAGAGACGGGCATCGGATCATCAGTTTGCAGCCCCTACACCTGCGACACCGCAAAGGTTCAGACAGTGGTCATCGACCGAGTATTTTTTGCTGGTGTCATTGCTCAACCAGACACTGGGCTCGGTTAGCTGTCGATGAGTCAGCAGACCCACGGGAAATGTGTCCGTGTTAACTGTGAGTCTCAGAGTTGAAGCCTGCTCCTCCTCAGCCCCCTCAGTACTTGATCTGTGCACCTTAGCCAGTCAGCACCCAGTTCCACCTTCAAGTAGAAAATGGTGTCATTTATCTTTGGGTTTTTTTAACTTAACATGATACATGTATTTTCTTTTTATTAGACATTCTTGGAATTCTCTTATGTTTTGCCATCACAATAGAGAAGACAGATCATTCCATTTTTTTTACTATTTTCTTGTTCATATTAGCAATATTTTTATATACTAAATACAGAATCCTAGAAAAATTAAGCAAGAAGAGCCAGAAAATTCAGCAAATAGCAATGGTGAGATCTACCAGCACTAAAGTATAATACAAAGCTTTCATAGTTAAAACTGTGTGGCACAGGCACATAAGTAGACAGATAGATCAGTATAACTGAATAAGTAGAAAGGCCAGAAGGAGATAAAATATATGGGGGAATTTAGTAAGTTATCAAAAAGGTATCTGAAGTCAGTGGGGGAAATGACAATTGCTCAGAAAATGATGTTGGGGCCGTTTGGTACACATCTGAAAGAAATTAGGTTGGATCTTTTCTTCTACCTTCCACCAAAATGAATTCCAGATGGAGCATGAATGTAAAATTATGAAACCACGAAAGTTCTAGGAAAAAAACGTGAAAATGTTTTTATAATATTTGAGTGATAGTGGCCTTTTTAATTATGTTGGAAAACGCAGACACCAGTTTTTTAAATGATGTATTTTACCACTTAACTAGAGTTCGGCATGACAAAGAGCAGGGCACGCGGAGTCAGAGGACACAGCACCGGGGAAACCCAGCACGTGTCACAGACTGAGGGGCAGCCTCCGTAGCGTGTGAAGAGTCTTAATGAGCAAAGACCAGAACTCGAACAACGCAATGGGCCGACTTCACAGAAAAGGACAAACAGGTTCTTTAAACATGTGGAGAGATGCGGTGATACAGATTACCGCCATGGCGAACCGTCGTTCCCCACATCCGTGGGGGTCAGAAGCGTTAGTAGGGTCCTGTGTTGGGCGGCGTGGGGGGCCCAGCACTCTGATGGGACTGCGAAGCGGCCCAGCTTCTGTGGGACATGGTTTTGTGCCGAAACCTGAAACCCTTGCACCCAGCAATCCCAATTCAAGGGATTTATCTTGGACACACTCACAAATGGTGGATGTACTCAAGAATATTTGTTTTTTCCTGGATGGTTGTATCATTTTAATCCAGCAGTTTCCAGGTCTGGATAGCCCAAATCCTTACCCAAACTGGCTTTTCAGTCCTTTTTTTTTTTAATCTTAGCCATTCTAGAAAGTTTTTAGTGGGACCTTAGGATTTTATTTGCATTTCTGGTAACTGATATTGAACATCTTTTCATGTGCATATTAGACAAAGTGTCTTTTGCTTTTTTAAAAAAAAATTGCAGCCCTGGCTGGAGTAGCTCAGTGGATTGAGTGCAGGCCTGCGAACCAAAGGATGGCAGTTCAATTCCCAGTCAGGGCACATGCCTGGGTTGCAGGCCATTTCCCAGCAGGGGACCCATGAGAGGCAACCATACATTGATATTTCTCTCCTCTCTTTCTCTCCTTCCCTTCTCCTCTAGAGATAAATAAATAAAATATTTTTTAAAAAGATTGAAAAAAGGGTCCTTTATACGTTTTTTAAAAATTGCATTGTTCTTATTATTGGGTTGTTAAATTACATGTTTTTGATATATATCTGTTGTCTATGTTTTGTTAATAGTCTCCCAGTCTTGGCTTTATTTTTTTGTTAATAATGTTTTGAAGGCGGTGTGTCATTCTGATGAACTCTCAGTTCACCAGTTTTTTTTCCTGTGGTTGTTTTTTTGTAAGAAATTTTTGTATACTTCAAGAAAATATACTCCTTTCTCCACCCTCCCAGAAGTTTTATATCTTTAGCTTTTATATTTAGCTTTATTGACCCCTATTAGATTTTCAGAATGGTTTATAATCAAAAAGGGAAAAAAAAAGATTTACAACCACTGATTTGACTGCTGTGCAGTTTTTCAGATTTGTTAATAATACGAGCAGATTTACATAATTCTGTCCCTTCCCCCAATAAAACAGTTTCTGAATTGATGGAGAGAATGACATTGCTTTTGTTGAGATGATATCAATGGACTATCTGGCTGCATCACACTTCCTAAGTAAATGGTTAATGGAAATACTCCTCTGGTGTACACCGCATTATAGGTGAGCATGTGGACCACTTGGCGCTGCCCCGTGTAGGGCAGTAAGGCTTCAGCGGTTCAGGAAATACTCCGGGGAAATCCATCAGAGAAGTTCCGTCGCATCCTGAAGCACTTGTCTCTCAGCCAGCAGGCATGCCCATCTCATCTAGAGCGAAGCCTAAAACGTGGGGTTGGAGGCTCCGCAGGCTCGGACCCCAGCCTCCCTTTGTATTTCTACAGAGCCCTGCAGTTTCTTGCTTCCCAGAGTTGTGCTAGGCCCCACCCACTCCGCAGGCCGTGTTCACCCCCTAGCCTTCCTCTGAGTGCGCTCCTTCCTTTTCATCCTGCCCTAGGCCTAGTCCAGTCTGTCTGTTGAGTTCCCAGGGAACCTCTACATTCCCCTTGAACTCCCTCCCAGCCTCTCAAGCAGGAATCAGTTTGAGCACATTTTATGCAGCCTCTCTGTTAGATTACAGACTTCTGAATGCTTTGGATTCTGAGAGGACGTGGCGCTCGCTTGCTTTATGTCTGAGTTGGGCTTCCTGTAGCTGCCGGCACACAGCAAGCCGGTGTAGGGGCCCTTTCCGACGCAGCGCTGTCGTGAGTCACAGCGCCGAGCCCTCGGGCAGCGGTGTTCTTTGTGAGGTTTTTTTAAAAATGAAATAGAATAGAAAATAAAGGTTACATAACGTGGGTAAGCATTCCATATAGGAAAAGAGCATTCTATAGCAAAAGGTTATTTTCTGGCTTTATATTTGTATATGTTTACCTAGGTTATAATAATAAAAAATTTGAAGAACACTGTGTAGACTTTAACCTCTATAATGAATTATTCCTAAAATTTTCCACTAAATGTTGTCTACCAAATTACCCTTCGGTGGATAATTTTCTTTAGCATCTGTTGTGTAGTCTTTGTTTTAGATTTGGGGTACATAATTGGCTTATGAATATAAATCATTTTTTCCAAAATAGAAAAAGTATTTGAAGAAACTTTAGAGGTTTATTGCCACAAATGTTTCTCTGAAATTTCTGTAATTTTTTAGACTTCTCTGTATTTATATTTATTAGTTTAGATTGCTCATGGAAGTAGTTGACAAGACAGTACTTGAAGGAAAAGTTCGTTTATTGATTTAGAGAGAGAAAGGGAAGGGGGGGAGAGAAGGAAACACCGATTTGCTGTTGGACTTATCTTTGCATTCATTGGTTGGTTCTAGTATGCGCCCTGACTGGGGATTGAACCCACAACGTTGGCATATCAGGATGATGCTGTACCTGGCCAGGGCACAAGACAGCACTTTTTGATATATTAGGATGAAATGAACATTATCAACTGAGTCTACAAATTCAAAAATTTATGACTAAGGACAATGAAATTTTATCTAGGACAGTAGGTTTACTTCATGTATAAATTGTAATGCTCTAATATGTGCAAAGATATCTTGCTGTTATTAACCAGCATTTAAAAGACAACTGACTTTGAAACTAGGAATTCTTAGCCATCAGCTCAGCAGGAATCATGTTACTATTTCTTCCCAAAGATAGTAGAAACCCAGATCTTCCAGATCTGCACAAACATTCCCAAATGGTCCTGTGTTACTTTTAAAGAGCCTTTGATGAACTGTGCATTCTTGAGATAGGAACGCAGTCACTGATAGTGTCATTTAGTATTTATAGTAAAGCTGGTTCTGTGGACTTGTTTAAATTTGTGATTGAAACTTTTCCTGGAACTCTGCAGCCTCGTAACCAGCAGTGACGGTGGTAGTAATGCCTGTGCCTGTCTTCCTCACGTCTCTTTAGGGTCATTATAGACCTTCTGATTTGCTGTGTCCTGAGACATACGTTTGGGTACCCATCGAGCAGTGCCTGCCTGCACTGGAGAACTCCAAGTACTGCCGCTTCAACCAGGACCCCAAAGCAGGTACGTTCAGAACAGCTCGCTGGGACATCATGAGCTTTGTTTTCAGAATTCACGTGCCTGTGGCTCTTTATTATGTGTCTAGGTGGCTTTCTGTATGCTTGAGTGTGCCTCAGATAGAGGGACCATGTGCTCACCAACAGCATCTCAGTTTTGGAAAAACATGCAGAAACTTCATGTGCTTGTGGTATGTCAACATACCAAGCTTCACGTGTTAGATTAGTTTTTACATCATGCTTTGAGAGCTGACTTCGTTATCTACTACTTTTACAAGTATCCCTCTCAGTGCATAAAAATCGTTCAGTAGGTTATTTAGCCAATAACAGAAATATTGAACAGTTGGACTGAATAAAGTTGTGGAATGGTTTTAAAGGGGGCGGAGCTGGGCAACAGGCCGTGATGGGTTTGGGATTTGTGATAACACTTTCTTGACTCTCTTCTTGGATCTCTGGTGCTTTCCTTTTCTGTCCCTTCTTCCACCTCCTGCCCCAGGCAATCCCAGCTGCCCCCCCCTCTCCTTGTCCCCCTGGGGTGCTCTTCACTGGCGGAGTGCCCAGACACTCCAGCACAGCCCTGGGGTCGGACTTCCTGCAGGCCGCACCTCGGACTCCCAGCCTTCAAAATTGAGATAATAGTAGGACCTACCTAACTGACTGCAGTGAGGATTAAATTCAGATGAGCAGGATGACAACAGCCCCTGTTACTATTGTTGTGTTGGCCGGTAGGCCCATCAGGGCGCTGCTTCCCACGCGGCCACAGGCTCTCCTTGGCGTTTGTCTTTATGGGCGCCGACCTGCTCTCTGAACAAGTGCGCACGTCCGGTTTCTCCCTGTGTCTGATTCCTCTTCCAGCGCACAGCAGTCCCACCGCCCCACGGCTCCTGTGCTGGTTACGTCACGGTGGCCAGGGTGTCCTTCCCAGAGTGATCTTCGTCCCCGGTGTTCGGTGCACCTCCTTGACCTTTGAGTCCTCACCACCCGCCAGGCGCCCTCTGCACACTTGACAAGAAAGCAGACCTTGTTCTGGTAGCCACCCGCGGTCTGAGTTTAGGGAAAGGAAGGGAAGGAGCGGGGAAGGTCCGGAGAGGGGAAGGGTGTGAATGGAAAATTCAAAGAGGAAGACAGAGGGGGCAAAAAAAGGAGTAACTTCTTCTAAGATGTGCATTTTTTCACATATTAGTTTTTTTCTTATAAAAAATTGGCTCATGTACCACTGTGTTTTGTTATCATCAGATGTTACGAAATCAAGTGTGTGCACTTCTTACCCATGATGGTACCTTAGAATCTGACAGACGGTGGCCATAGGGACCTACCTGACTCACAGGCCGTACCAGGGGCTCGCCCCAGGTTTTCTACATGTTCAGGTTTCATACAACAACCAGCGCTTTAGGGTTCCTACACCTTAAATTATTCATTAGAATCTCATCACTTTGTTCTAAGTATTGTTAACCTCTGATCAAACCAGTGGGTACATTTGGATTCAAAGGCAAGGGTGTTTTGGAGGAAAGCATATACCTACCTATTCTCTCCTCCCAAAAAGAAATGTATTTTCTGTCAGCTTTTCTCAAGGTCAGGTCAGAGCCAGTCCCTTGTGCAGAAAATTGCTGAATATCTTTTGTATTATTTCATGTTCACATATAAAAAATTATCTAAGTTCCTTCCAACTAAATAAATAACATTCTTACTCCCAAACTTAAGACACAATTTCACCTTTTGTTTCTCCTCCTTGATCTGTTTTAACAGTCGCTTCTCTTTGCAGCGTAGCACTTGGAGGTTAAAGCGGCCCGGGCTCCCTGTTTCATTAAGTTGTAAGGGTGTCTGAGTAATTTCCATGCACTGAATGGACGTTCAAGTAAAGATTCATTCACGTGAACAGGTTTTTAAGTCATTTTCCGACATGTGCACCAATGAGAATTTCATGGCAAAGAAAATGAAGTTTCACATTGACCGGGTTTTGTCAACTATATATACTGTCCCCCGTAAGGGTGCTCCTTCCTGTAACCCTCCCAGCCGCATTTCTATGGCATTAGCTTTAGCTCTTACTATTCGTTTACAAAAATCAGTTGTCAGTTTCTTTGAAAATAGTGCTTCAACATATTAAGCAAATTCAGCAGTAAATCTTAAAGCTCTTACTGACTTTATTCCGCGATGAACGCATCAGGCAGCCTTCCATCTAGCAGGCGGAGAGGGGCTCTGAGTCGACTCCCAGGCAGAGGAGGGCGGGACAGGGAGTTACGCCGGCACGGAGCTGACAGTGTGCGGCCACTTCCCGTAGGGGGCGTCAGGCCGTTTACCTCGGGACTGCTGACCAGGTGATTCCAGATTGACTGGTTTAAGGTTTTGTTCTGGGGAAGCTGAAACTAATTAAGTTGGGAATTAAGTCTCCGTTTTCTGACGTGGGGGCGTAGCACAGGTGACTCCATTTGTGGCCTGCTGTCTCTTTAACAGAAGCACATGAAGATCCTTTTCTGAATGCTGGATCTTTGGAACTTTCAGGAGCACACCACGCAGTTTTATCAGTATCAAATATCACAGTCCAGACATCATTTGAAATCAGACTTCTGTCCTGCGGTTTTGGGAAATTAAAATGCAGTTTCATGCCGGAGTGTGTTGAGCATGCTGTGAACCGTGGTCATTTGAGATTTAAATGCCAGTAAGTGAGAGATGATCCTCTTCTCTGGGGCCGGTTTGACTTTGACTTGACCAAACTCTGACTCCAAGAACATGCAGAGCTTACTGTGGGCAGTGTTGGTGGTCAGCATGGTGCTTTTTCACCAAGTCTTCGTGGTTGAATTACTGTGCGCAGGGCGCAGCTGACCTCCATAGGTCTCTGTCCCACAGAGTTTGGCTGTGAGGTGGCCCAGTGGCCATTTGTCAGAAAAGTTGCCTCCCCCCCGCCCCCAAATAGCTGTAAGCCCCTGGAAATCCTGTTCTTCCCTTCCCTCCACACACTCACACTTTGCAGGTTTGGATTCCGTGGTGATTTTTATTTCTCAACTAGGAAGTCTGGGTAACAATCAAAACCTATCGTGTTACTGCTTTTAGGTACTACAAGGGAGGGGTTGACAAACCGAAGTAGCTTGGAAAAGTCTAAAGAAATCATTTTATTCATAAATAGGGCTTTTGTTTTTCAATTTAAGACCTCTGCTTACTCTAAAGAATGGATTTCAGAAGTTTCTCAGTAATTTTTAATAAAAGTCTTTCAGACTGCTTTTAAATTAATAGCTGATTATGGATAGATTTTAAAATTTCTACATCAGAGGTAAGTTACCTCTTACTGTTTTTTAAAAATTACTTGAAAAAATATTTACTGGGAACACTAGCAGAAAATTTGTCCGAACACATAAAACCACCACTAAGGAGATTCAAGTGACCCACAGTCTCTCCATGTAAAACTGTTAGTATTTTTATACTCTCCCTCTGACACTTTTTCCTGTGCATATAACTGTGTAATTTTTCGAAACTCCTCACTTGAGGATATTTTTATTGACTTTAGAGAGAGGGGGCAGGGGTAAAGAGAGAGAGAAACATCGATGTGAGAGAGAAGCATCAATCAGTTTCACTCCGTAGGTGCCCTGACCAGGGATTAAACCTGCAACCTGAGTACGTGCCCTGACTGGGAATCGAACTGCTACCTTTTGGTGTACGGGACAACACTACAACCAACTGGACCACCCGGCCAGGGCTCTGCATATTGTTTTTTAAAAATGGCACAGGCCCTGGCTGGTGTGGCTCAGTGGATTGAGCGCTAGACTGTAAAGCAAAGGGTCGGTGGTTCGATTCCCCGTCAGGACACGTGCCTGGGTTGTGGACCCTGGTGGGGAGCGCATGAGAGGCAACCACACGTTGATATTTCTTTCCTTCTTTCTCCCTCCCTTCCCCTCTTTCTAAAAAATAAATTAATTAAATCTTTAAAAAAACAACAACACAGGAGTCGTGCTCTGTGCTTTTGTTGTTTATACTTAACACTTTGTGTTGCTTCTTTTAATAAGGTAAAAAACTTCGGCCATGAATTTAGTCATTCAGGAAACAAATGGCACAACTTACGTGACGGGCAGTGGCTGGTGTCAGTATTTTACAAATGTCACTGCAGGAGTAAACCAGATGTGGGGAGTTGGTTTTGGAGCCACGATACACTGTGGTTTGGTTTGACTCAGTGCTGTGCTCATTGTTGCTGGTGAAACCTCTCGGTCCGAGATTGACAACAGTAAAGCTGACCGAGCGCTGCTGCTTCCCGAGCTCCGTTTCCCATTTTCCCGGCGCGGCCTCAGTTGTGCTCAGAACATAATGGAATGTTTCATCCTTCCTCCTTCAGTTACTACTTGTTGCAGAAACGACGGCTAATATTTGTTTTTAACCAGGGAGTTCAGATAACTTTAACTCAATATTGCTCTATAGTAATTATTGTTAGTATTCATTACAAAGGAGCTAACTAGAATAATCTTTAATATATGTATATATATTTGACCACAGATTAGTCTAGATTTCCTTCTCTTTTATATATACTTGGAAATGTTTGAAGACATTTTCTAACTTGTCTCTAATGTAACTCAGTTGAAAATCATTAGTAAGGATATCGAATTTAAATTTATCACAGAAATAGCAGTACCTAATTCTGGCTTAGTGCTCTGTGCATTTACCCAAGTTGGAGAATTTCTAGGACATAGTGGGTGCTGAAAATCGAAACTAATATAAACAGCTTTTTCCGGGTTTGACCCTGTGAAACTCCTGGGACTGCCTGTGTGTTGTCTCATTTCATCTGCCTCTTTTCTTCTCTCTGTACTCCACTCTTTCTTCTTTTCCTCCTGTCACGGCCCCTGGGATTTTTTCCAGCCTCCTGTAGTTTTGGTTGCATGTGTCATGGAAGCAGCAGGTCTCGCTCCGCCTGCGCCTTTGTGTGAAATAACTTGGTTCATTAGGGCTCCGTCCTGCATTCTCTTGTCTGGTTTTTCCAGGCCTGGAATTACCTCCCGTATGTTGTGTTTATGCTCCCTCAAAAGGGCG